TTCTTTCTTTCTTTCTTTCTTTCTTTCTTTCTTTCTTTCTTTCTTTCTTTCTGCCCCAGTTTTTTTCTCCACGGGGATACTCATTAAAAGCATTCCAATACAATTTCAAAAATCTACTAATATAACATAGTCTTTGGGAATTAATCTTCATATCTCACCTCAAGTTCCTCTTCTGGTTCTTTCGGCTCTCCTTTTCCATCTTCTTTGTCGTTGTCTTTTCCTTTTCCTTTTCCTTTACCTTTGCCTTTGCCTTTCCCCCTGCCTTTTCCCTTGCCTCTTCCTCTGCCTCTTCCTTGGCCTCCTGGTCCAAACTGAAAAAGACAACAGTGCTATCATTCTCTTATGTTCAGAGATTTAGAGTTGGTCCAAATGAACTTCCTGAGAACCCTCAAATGGTTGTCCCCCAGAAATGGTGAACTATACAGCCCACCATCCCTAGCAAGCAAATCACTCTACAAGTTGGTAGATACAGAAGTATAGTGGAATCAGGGATCTCGAGTTCAAAGTGTTTGGACTTATGCATTAGCAAAGTAGTTCCCAACCTTTGGTCTTCCAGATATTTTGAACTTCAAACAAACAAATCTTTATTACAGTCATAGAAATATGATCATATTTCTGGGCTCCCAGAGAGAGGGTTACAGAACTTCAGAATTGCTGACAGTTGAACAAGCTGATTACGGATTATGAGTTGACACCCCAAATACCTGGAGGACCAAAGGATAATGTTAGCAGTTTCAGCTGCTGTGCCACCTGTACATTTAGCTGCAATTCACAACAGCTAACTGCACAAGGGGAATGGATTTTCAAAAGGAGCAAAATGTGATTATGAGTGGTTCCTATTATAAACCAAAACATTGTGTGTTTCTGAATGGGCAATGAAGAGTTATTATTGTTATTTTATGCCTTCAAGTCATGATGAGACTCAGGGCTCTTCCAGACAGGTATTTATTTGTTTGTTTACTGTATTTTTATAATGCCTTTCTCAGCCCGTAGGCAACTCAAGGCGGTTAACAGGGTAAAATTCAATGCTTACAATATCATAAATACAATTAAAAACATAACATATAATAAAAACTAAACAAGTCAATAAAATATAAATTTTAAAAACTTGTTGTCCGGTCTCATTGTCATTGTTCCATTTTCCTATGTCAGTTTCTCTGCATTTCGAAATGTTTGTTCAAAAAGCCACGTCTTAACTTTTTTCCGGAATGTTAAAAGGGAGGTTCCACAGCTGAGGGGCTATCATGGAGAAGGCCCTGTCTCTCGTCTCACCCATCCACATACAACTCAGAAAGTCTGCGCTTTCTGGGGTGGGTGTCCAGATGTTCTCGTTCTCCTGGAATATAGCCATACAGCCCAAAAAACCTACATCAACCCAGCAATTCTGGCCATGAAAGCCTTCGACAATACATTCTCCGGGAACTTTCTGGGAGAACACCTGGACACTTTAACCTCCTCCCCAAAAGTCCTGTAAAGAACAGAAGTCCTTCCTGGAGGTATTACTGGTTTCAGTTTGATGACAACCGGCATCACATATCAAAAGAAAAAACACAGATGCTCATATGCCCCTCATATCTGTTTAATAGATAGACTACTACAGTGTGGAAGGGTTGCTCTTTATGTTTAAAGGTCATGGAATGTGCTGATGTATATGCATAAGTATCCATATAATCCAGGGGTCCTCAAATTTTTTAAACCAAGGGCTAGATCACAGTCCCTCAAACTGTTGGAGAGCCAGATTATAATTCGAAAAAAACATGAATGAATTCCTATGCACACTACACATATCTTATTTGTAGTGCAAAAAACACTGTAAAACAATACAATAATTAAAATTAAAAACAATTTTAACAAACATAAACTTATTAGTAGTTCACTGGGAAGTATGGGCCTGCTTTTGGCTGATGAGATAGGATTGTTTTTGTTGTGTGCTTTCAAGTCATTTCAGACTTAGGTTGACCCTGAGCGAGGGCCAGGTAAATGACCTTGGAGTGCCGTACTTGGCCCATGGGCTTACTTCGAGGACCCCTGATATAATCCCTGTATCAATAATGCATACTCACGGGAGATCTTTCCTCAGCTCCATTCACCACAAAAGCCTGAAAGGAGAGGAAAATAAAAGCTACAGATTTCTGTTTTTCCATCCCATACATGATAATAAGAAAAGCGTTATTTGTTTATGTATTATGTATTTATTTGTTGATATATTATTTATGTATTGTGGGAAGCCTTTAACTCTATTTATGTACTGTCTGTCTTTGTTAATTCTATAACTGCACTGAGTGTTTGCCGTATATGTGTACTGTAATCCTCCCTGAGTCCCCTGGCAGAGATAGGGTGGAATATAAATAAAGTATATTATTATTATTATTATTATTCATGTATATACTGCCTTATTTATTTATTTTTATTTATTTATTTCCATTACTTCTACCCCGCCCTTCTCACCCCAAAGGGGGGACTCAGGGCAGCTTACAAAAGAAGGCACAATTCGATGCCCATGTCAAATATACATACATACATAAAAGCAATTAAACAGTTAACAGGTTAAAAACATCAGTACATAACACAATAGTAAACAATCTCATGCTCAGTGTTCAGAGTTCCATAAATCCATTCTGTTCCGTCAATTCCTGCCCATCATCAAGGTCTTTTCTTTAGCTGCTAGACTGTCCAAAAGCCTGGTCCCACATCCAGGTCTTCAATTTTTTTCTGAATGAAAAAAGGGAAGTCGCTGATCTAATCTCCCCGGGGAGTGAGTTCCACAGGTGGGGGCCACCACTGAGAAGGCCCTGCTCCTCGTCCCCGCCAGCCTCACTTGTGATAGAGGCAGGGTCGAGAGCAGGGCCTCCCCAGAAGATCTTAAACTCCGAGGTGGGACGTAGTGGGAAATCCGTTCGGACAGATACACTGGGCCGGAACCGTATAGGGTCTTTGTACTAATATAGTTGGTTTTCCATATCTATGGTCCTGTATCCATGATTTTTTAAAAAATCCCAAAAGCAAATCTTGATTTTGCCATTTTATATAAGGAATAATTTTTACATCACCATTATGTGTAATGGACAAACACTCTGCTTTGTTAACTAAAGCTTTTCTCTGGTTTCTTAGATGCCGCCTTGTCACAGTGTTTATTGTACCATTTTCTTAACACTCACCCCTTCAGATGACCATGGCTGCAGAATGAAAGGGGAGAAAAAACAAATGTTGGTAGTCATTTCTGAATTTAGTCTCTAACTGCAAGAATAAAATGTTAGGCCAGGATAGGGGCAGGGAAATTGTGTTCTTAGTATGTTCTTGATCATAACCAGTTTCACCCCTGGCTTTGCTGACTGAGAATTTGTGAACTTTTGGAAGACACCAGGACCATTGCAGCTGTGAAAGAGTGTAAGTGGTAGATTGTTTTTTTTCATGTGAGGTGCAACTTGAGAAACTGCAAGTAGCTTCTGGCGTGAGATAATTTGTTCGCCTGCAAGCATGTTGCTCAGGGGATGCCCGGATGTTTTCGATATTTTACCATCCTTGTGTTAGGATTCTCTCATGTCGCTGCATGGGGAGCTGGAGCTGACAGAGGGAGCTCATCTGCGCTCTCCCCGGATTCGAACCACCAGTCTGTCAGTCTTCGGTCCTGCCGGCACAAAGGTTTAACCCATTGCATCACCGAGGGCTCCTCAAGGGTTTGATAGCAATCAAATTTGCCACTTTACATGGTGATGTAACTCTGGGTTACACCACCAAATAGGAATTATGACCCACTAGGTGGATTTCTTCCTTTAATCTTCAATTTTCAAGCATTGCATTAATATAAAACCAGTTAAGCATTCAGAAACAAAGGAAAGGGACAAAGTGGCAATAGTAATACAAATATATAAAAAGTTTTGAATTTGAATGTCTCTCTTTTGACAATGGCACAGATTTGGGAGAAGTCTTAGTTTGAAGGACAATGTCATCATTTTCCCCTCCCTGTAGCTGACTTGAAGGAGAATGGTATTTATATTGTGGGAATGCTATTTGAGTACGTCCCAATCTAATCGCAGAAGAGTCCACCCTTGGATTTACAGTAGTCTGGATGTGCGAGGGGGCTGACTTGAGATCACATAGCAAAGTTCTCCCAGTTGTTACATGTAAGGTAGACCAGGAATGTGAAATTCAACATGTATCAAGATTTGTCTTCATTCTGCTGTCTGTGTGCATTTCAAAAAATGGTTCTTATAACCTTTAGGAAAAACCTTTCAAACTTTTTGAATGGGTAAAAAGGATATAAACATATTGTTGAAGGCTTTCATGGCCAGAATTACTGGGTTGTTGTAGGTTTTTCTGGCTGTATGGCCATGTCCTAGAAGCATTCTCTCCTGACGTTTCTCCTAACTTTTCTGACCTCACAACCCCTGAGGATGTCTGCCATAGATGCAGGTGAAACGTCAGGAGAGAATGCTTCTAGAAATGGCCATACAGCCAGAAAAACCTACAACAACCCAAGAATATAAACATTTGGGAACTACTCTGTTATTTCATGGAAATGGTGCATGCTTATCTGGAGAAGCCAGGGAGCAGGTTCTATGTCTACAAAAGGCCATATTGAGGTCAGCTGTTTCATGTACCTAAACTGGTATAGTTGTGTGTCTCTTTCTTACTTACGTCCAGAACAGGGTTTTCCTCCGAATCTTCAGACTGAGGAGGGGGAAAAAAGAAGAAGATAAAACTGCATTGATTTGGGGAAGGGAAAATCTCCTTGGGGTGTAGGTGTGTCCATGTCATATCCAGCTAAAGTACTGGAGGATTATACTTATTCTTTCTTTCAGTATCTCTCACACAAGCACATTCCAAAAAAGAATAGTAACTGGGGGCCCATCCAGACACTACCTTTAGTGTGGTATCTACCGCAATAAAGGAGGGGCTTTCCAGACAATGTTCTGGACAGTCCCAAATTAATTCACTACAAACTAGGAAAACTCTGGTCTGTGGTGAATTAATTAGATAGTGGATTTGTTCCGTGCCTTCTTGGAAGGTGTGGAATAAACCCATTATTTCCAGTGTCTGGACTACAATCCAGGCACCATTCTCACAGTTTACCAGGCTAAATAAGCCTGGTAAACTATGGAAATACCCACCTCCCTTCCGGTGGGTGATGGCGACGGGCAAACCTCGTTGAGAGGGAGCTCCGACGGGGGACCAGCGTAGAGGTGCTAAAGGGTGAGCTTACAGCTCCCCCACCCTTGCTGGATTGAAGGCAAGGGTGTAGCGAACTCGCAGAGGCTCGTAGAACCCCAAGAACCCCCTTCCCTCAAGGAGGGGGGTCGAGAGGGTCCGAGCCGTGAGAAGCAAGCGCCCCGCTGGGATCGGGCGAAAGCCCGTTTCAACCGCAGCCAGCCCGCACAAAACTAAAAGAAGAAAGAAATAAGAATTCTCGGAGGAGAACATTAAGAAGATCTCACCATCAGGTAATGTGAGAGATACCTCTGGAAAACGAATAATAGTGGGAGAGTTGAGAAGAAGGAAGAGAGGAGATTGGAGAGAAACTATACGATAGACGGAGAAGGCTAAATATAATTGTGATCCGGAAAGAAAAGAAGCAATTGGACAATTTGGAAATATCCTATTAAGGAACATATAATATAAAATATTAACTGCCGCCCTTGGGGAGAAAACTGGAGAGGGAAAAAAGTGGCGAGGCTTGAAATTAACTGAGAGGAAAATAAATTAACTGAGAGGAAAATAAAAATAAAACTATATATTATATATATATTATCCTCTCCTCCCCCGCCCCAGCTTCCCCCCCCTTCCATCGGGGAAAGAAAAGGAAAAGAAAGACTATACGACCTTGGCGCCATATTGTTATGGCTAGCGATACCCCTTCTTCATAAACAAAGTGGCAAAGAGAATACAGGAAACACGAAGAGGGGAAAGGGAAGTGACGGAAAGGAAGAGGAGGAGTAAGTAAGAAGAAGGGCGGAAGAGGAGTTGGAGGGTTGGAAAGAAGGGCGGAAGCTGGAAGCGGAAGCAGGAAGAACCATAGAAAAAGTCCGCTACGGAGCGGCAAGAAAAGCAAGAATAGTAGATATCGAGCCTCCCTTGAAGCAAATAGCTATAAGCAGACGGATACAGACATACTGAGGAAGAGAAGCTGACGGAGGAGAGAAAGCCAGGACGAGAAGAAGACGAGAATCTAGGAAGAGAAGCAGACGAAGGCAGTGGAGATCTGAGGAAGAGAAGCAGACGAGCGACAAGACCAGGACGAGAAGCAGACGAGAATCTAGGAAGAGAAGCAGACGAAACATTGGAGGAGAAAGGAAAGGAAGCAGAGTGTCAAAAGGGGCTCAGAGAAAATTGAAGAAATTTAGAATAGATTGGAGAATTAACTGGAAAGACAAGACATTGAATGAAATAAGGGGAAATAAGCTTTGAATAATAGAGGATAAATAAGAATTAATATTAAATTTTTAATAAAGCAAGTGAATTTGGGAATATTAAATTGAATTAATTAAGTGCATCAATACTAATAATAAATTGAAGTAACCTAATAAAATAAAATAGATAAAATTGGGGAAGATATATTTAAGAATAAATAGACTCAGGCAAAGAAATCAAATTAATAATAAGTAATTATTTGGAGATTTATATTAGAAAGTTTAATGAAATAGAAATTACAAATTGATTAGAAATAGTTATAAGAGTAGATGTCATCAAAAGGGAAACAAGAGAAGGAGAAGATCCAGATAAGAAGGGGATCACTTGATACCAGTATCAATATGGAAAATATTTTGAAGGAAATTAAAAAACTGTCTGAAAAACAAGATTCATTAAAAAAAGATATGGCAGACAAACAAGAAGAGTTTTTCAACAAGCAAGAAAAGAACTATAAAAAAATGACGGAAGAGTTCCAAGGAATGAAAAAGAAAATGGAAGAGGAATTTGGGCAAATAAAGAAAGATATAACCCATTTATATGGAGAAGTAAAAGAATTGAAAACTAGTAAGGAAAAGATGGAGGAAACACAATCTCATATGCTGAAGAGAATTAAAGGTATTGATAGACAAAAAGAAAGAATTGAAATGGAACAAGAAAAATTACTACAAAAACAAATGGACTACCACTTAAGATTCAGAAATATTCAAGAAGAGAAACAGGAGGATATCGGTCAGTTAATGACAAATTTGATTGCAAAATGTCTAGAATGTGAAGAAGATGAGCTGGAGGTGGAGTTAGACCAAATATATCGAGTATCTTCATTTTACTCAAGGAAAAATAAGACGCCACGAGATGTGATAGTACAATTCACACGGAAAAAAACTAGAGATGAGGTGTTGTATAGAAGTAACAAAAATTCAATTTATTACAAGGAGACCAAGATTGCAGTTTTGAAAGAATACCCTCAAGTGACATTAAGTAGAAGAAGAAAATACTACTTCCTTACGGATGAACTTAAGAAAAGATCAATTAGATTCCGATGGGAAAGAACCGAAGGTATTATGGTAACATATAAAGAAGAAAGATATTGGTTGACGTCGGAGCAGAAGGCTAAGACCTTTTATGAGAACTTAATGAAGGAATCAGAAGAAGAAAAATCTGGAGAAAAGAAAGGAGATAAAAAGGCATTGACACCGGGAAATGGAAATGGCAACGGTAAAGAGAAGAAAAAACCTAGGATTGAGACCCCAGAAGAATACAGAAAATTTAGTAAAACCTACGGGAGGGGAGTACCAGTATCAGAAGATCTAGGAGAAGGAGCTTATGGACCGGATGTGACAGCGCAAGGAATTTCGGAACTGAACCTTGGCGATATAGGACAAGATACAGATCTACTTGGATAAAATGGCGGAAAGACAGATTAAATGCCTCTCGAATAATATTAATGGTTTAAATTTGCCCCAGAAACGGAAAAAAATATTTGGAAAACTACAAAAAGCAAATCTAGACATCATATTACTCCAAGAAACGCATATCTGCCACAAGCATGTGGCACATCTGGAAAATAAAAGATTAGGTAAGACATTTTACTCATCATACGAAAAGAAGAAAAGAGGAGTAGTTACATATGTAAAAGAGAATCTGGCACCGGAATTGGCATTTAAGGATGTGGAAGGAAGATGTGTTGCAGTTAAAATTTCGATGGGTAGTTTGAAAATTCTGGTATGTAATATATATGCTCCAAATGGCCCAAAGACTGAATTTATCCAATTCTTATTTACAAAACTGAGAGAAACAGAATTTGATGAGCTCTTGGTAATAGGAGATTTTAATGGAGTGATGGATAAGAAAAAAGATAAGAATAAGTCAAAAGGAAATGGAGATAGTGGGGGGCTGTTACCGCAAAAATTCTTTGATCTTCAAAGAGAATGATAAAAATGAAAAGAAGACAGGATTATACTTTCTACTCTTATCGACATCAAACGTGTAAAATAAAAATAAATTATAAAAATTATCAAAGAAAATGGAGATTAAATGAGAATTTGATAAAAACAGATGAGACTTACCAGCAATTAAAAGAAAAAAATAAGAATCTGACATGGCTGCATTATTTACAAATGAAAGAATACATTAAGCAGGACAATAAGATAGGCTTCACCTGGGAAGAAACATTGTGGGACAAAATTTTGAAGTCAAAGAAAAAAGTAATTTCATTAATTTACAATACATTGCTAACCTGGCTAACGGAACGTGAACAAGTCAAACCATGTATGATAAAATGGGCAGAAAATATAAGAAGACCTATACAATTTAGAGAGTGGGAACAGATGTGGAACAAAAAGATGAAATATGTTTATGCAACAGATTTAAAGGAGAACTGGATAAAAATGTTCCACAGATGGTATACCACTCCAAAGAAGTTATCTTTAATAAACAAAAATGCTTCCGATAAATGTTGGAAAGGATGTCAACAGACAGGTACTTTTTATCATATGTGGTGGACATGTAAAGAAGTAGTAAAGTATTGGTCAATGATACATGAAGAATCACAAAAAATTTTGAAAAAAGTTTTTAAGAAGAAACCGGAATATTATCTATTAGGTTTTACGGATATGGAACTACAATTACAGGAAAACGAGGATAGACTTTTTACTTATATTACGACGGCAGCAAGAATTACGTTAGCAAAAGTTTGGAAACAGGACAGTATCCCTACCAAGGAGGAATGGTTAGGGAAAATCAGAGAAATAAGAGAGATGGATGAATTAACTTTTTTTCTAAGGAAAAATACCGGAAACCCGATAAAGAGGACAGATTGGACTTTTTATGACAGTTACGAGAAAGAAAACAGCAAATAAGAGAATTATTTTGAAACAAAGGGAACATTTTTTGGAGACAATACACCTGATGTGGAGATGGAAGTCAAACCTTTTTTTTATATATATATATAGATTTTTTTTTTTTTTAATATAGTGTGTGTTTTTTTTTTTTTTTTCTCTCTCTCTTTCTTTATACTTTTTTTTCCTACTGTTCTATCCTCTTTTGAATGTTCACCCTCTTTCGTTGTATTTAAGATATAGCCTAATAAAAATTATTCAAAAAAAAAAAAAAAAAACAATGTCCGACTCTAGGGGTTGATGCTCATCTCCATTTCAAGCCGAAGACCCTTTAGAAAAGCTATAAAAACTTACGTGCCCTCCATTACAGGGCTTAGCCAGCTCTTAAGCGCATAGAGAGAGAGAGGGGGGGGAGGGAGGAAAATCACCCCCCCCCGCTCTCCTGGCA